GGTCTATCCGATCGCGGATTAAATAGGAAATGAATCTGAGCCGTTCATCGCGATGCAATTGAGCTGTCCGTACGCGATTCAATCTGAGACGTCCGTACGCGTGCAATTGGACCGTTTGTACGCCCTTTTGATCTGGAGTGTCCGTGCGCGCGGGAAAGGATCTCAGCCGGATCGCGCGAACATGGATCGCCCACGAGGCTCCTTCCGCTTGGCCTCCCGCGTCAGCGTCTCTGCCACGCGGCGTGTCCTGGTTGGCCGGGGTTGCTGATCGGGCTCCTGACGTGGCACAAGTTTTCTAAATTGCGTTTTGACCCTCGGTTTTCGATTTTTTTTTTCAAAAACACCCCCAGAATTTAAATTTTCAGTCATTTTTCCCAAAATTGTTTTCAATTAAATCTCAAAAATAATTTTATCCATTTTTAGTATTATTATTATTTTTATTTCTCTTTAATTAAATTAAACTAAATTAAAACCATATATTATTACATAATAAATCATTATATTCATCTAAAAATTAAAAAAAAATAAAATAAAATAATATTAATAAAAACATTAATAATTTGGGGTGTTATAGATGATCCAGCCTGCATTGTCCCCGGTAAGTTCTATTTTAATTTAAAAGTTCAGTCTTATGAATCCTGGATCAAACTATAAGATATAACTCACATCTTTTTTAATGTGAGATTCCATTTAGTTAGAAATTTCAATAGAAAATAAGATATGAATAATAGGATCAAATTAGGAATAACATTGATTCTAAACTATTAATCCTTCAATAATAAAATTGCTTTATAGTTGTAGTGATTTAGCCATTATTAGTTTTTCAGCATTTTCTTTTACTAGCTTCTATGGTTGTTTTTTATTTTAGTTCTGTGAATATTCTCAAATTTTGCAACACGATATTCTTTTCTTTGCAGGTGCCCTTACAGGAAAGTATATGCCAGAAAATCCACCAACTGGCCCACGTGGCAAGATTTACACTCCTGAGTTTCTAACAAAGGTAAAGCCTTTAGAGAGTGAGAAACTGAATACGTTCAACCTCATTTGGTGGCTCAAGTACCTTTCTCTATGCAGCTCCAACCTCTTCTGCGTAGGATAAAGAAAATAGGAGAGAACTACAAAAGAACCGCCACACAGGTATCTTTCTCCTTACACTACCATGTTTCAAGTTTCAGTCAAAATTAGTTCCTGAAGTAGTCTCTCTTAGATTCAGGAAGGTAAATACCAAATCAGTTATGGAAGAAAGTATTGCTAAACTCACTTGTCATGGATTCTTGATACTCTACTCCATTTATTGACACTTTTTCCCTGACATTGTGCTCTATGAAGACATTTTCATGTAGTCAGGCACAAGTCATGTACTGGCAATACACTAGTGTTGTACTGGACTAAGATATATGAGCATCAATTAGTTCCATTATATATCCATTTTTCTTTTCCTTGTAAATTGAAAGGCATAAACTTTTCTTGGGCGTTACGGATATGATTACTCTCTCTTTAGGCAGTTGATCTCTTTTTCTGTGTGCGAGAAGACTGCTCACCGGGTCTGTATTGAAGTAATGGAAAGTGATTCCATTCCAAAAATTTATTTGAATCCCTAATAAGAGCAGGTCTTTGTGCAGTATTTTTCATCAGCTAGGGTAGTTAACATTGACAAGCAAATTATTCTATAACTGCAATAATATGTACTAAGCAGATTTTATCATATCATAAATCTAATAACTATATTACGGCATTGACAAAATAAATCTAAACTGCATATTGTCGACAGTATTTAAAATGTTATCTTCCTCTATGCAGGTAGTACTAAACTGGTTAATAGCCCAAGATAATGTTGTGCCAATTCCAGGAGCCAAAAATGCTGAACAGGCTAAGGAATTTGCTGGTGCTCTTGGGTGGAGACTAACTAATGCAGAAGTCAATGAGCTGCGATCTTTGGCATCAGAGATAAGTCCTGTTATTGGTTTTCCTGTTGAGAACTTGTAAATTTCTACCAAGCAGTTTTAAATTCGCTTCTAAATCTCAACTACAGATGTGAATGCATTAGGCTTCTGAGTATATGTTCTTCCTCATTTTTGTATCTGCAAATCCCATCACTTGTGATGTGAGTATATATCCATGGATGGATGGGTACTTTTTCTGATTCCTCACTTAATAAATAGGAACACAAATTCGTAATTATGGAGAAAGTGAGATATGGGTGAAATTAATTAAATTGTACATTAATTAAGATTTAATAATTGAATGAAAATAAAATAAATTTAGTGCAAACAAATGTGTGAATTTACTAAAAAATAATTATGGGTTCTCATCAGTCATGGATCACTTCTCAACTTGTTGTTTGTCAGAGTATCAGATTTTGGTTCCGAGCTTTTTAGTTTTCGTTCGTTCTTGCTGTGATGCGGCTTAATGGAGTTTCGTGCTGTGTAC